TGGCCGAGCAATATTCCATTGTATATATGTACCACCTCTTCTTTATCCATCGACAGAAACCCAGGCTGCCTCTTGGCCATTGTAAACAATGCTGCAATAAACATATGGATGCGCACATCCTTTCAAAGCAGCATTTTGGGTTTCTTCAGATAAATACCCCAAAGTGGAATTACTGGGTCCTTCTTTATCTCGTGTTATAGCTTTTGTTTTAAAGTCTAATTTGTCTGGTATAATTATTGCTGCCCCAGCTTTTTTTATTTCATTTCCATTTTCATGAAGTATCTTTTTCCATCCCTTTACTTTCAGGCTGTGTCTGTCTTTTGATCTGAAGTGAGTATTTTATAGGCAGCAAATGTAATGGTCTTGTTTTCTTATTCGTTCAGCTACCCTATCTTTTGATTGAAGCATTTAACCCATTTACATTTAAAGTAATTGTTGATAGATATGTTGTTATTGCCATTTTATTATTCATACTTTTTATTTATTTTTCATCTTAAAGAAGTCCCGCTAACATTTCTTATAATACTGGTTTGGTGGTGATGAACTCCTTTAGCGTTTCTTGTCTGGGACTTTTTTTTATCATCTCCTTCAATTTTAAATGATAGCCTTGCTAGATAGAGTAATTTTGGTTGTAGGTCCTTGATTTTTATCACTTTGAATATTTGATGCCAATCCCTTGTGACCTGCAAAGTTTCTGTTGAGAAATCAGCTGAGAGTCTTATGGAGGCTCCCTTGTAAGTAACTAGTTGTCTTTCTCTTGCTGCTTTTAGGATTCACTCTTTGTCTTTAACCTTCGCCATTTTAATTATAATGTGTCTTGGTGTGGGCCTGTTTGGGTTCATCTTGTTTGGGACTCTGTGCTTATTGGGCTTATATATCCATATCCTTTGCTAGGTTAGGAAAGTTTTCAGTCATTGTTTCTTCAGATGGGCTCTCGATCCCTTGCTCTCTATCTTCTCCTTCTGGTACCCCTATGATGCAAATATTGGAATGCTTGATGTTGTCCCAAGGTCTCTTGAACTATTCTCATTTTTTTGGATTCTTTTTTCTTTTTGCTGTTCTGATTGGGTGTTTTCTTCTACCTAATATCCCAATTCCCTGATTCGATTCTCTGCTTCCTCTAGTCTGCTGGTGATTTCTTCTATTAATAGTGTATTCTTCATTTCAGTTATGGTATTCTTTACTGGCTGGCTCTTTATTATGGTTTCTGTGTCCTTTTTTATCCTTACTATCTATTTGTTGAAGTTCCCACTAAGTCCCTTGAGCATTCTTATAACTATTATTTTGAACTGTGTATCTGGTAGGTTGCTTGCCTCCATTTCTTTTAGTTCTTTTTCTGGATTTTTCTCCTGTTCTTTCATTTGGGATGTATTTCTTTGTTTTCTCATTTTGGCTGCCTCTCTGTGTTTGTTTCTATGTAATAGGAAGATCTATTCCGTCTCCCAGTTTTGGCCAGGTGGCCTTATGTAGTAGGTGCCCTGTGGGGCCCAGTGACATGTCTTCCTAGTCACGTGCATCAGGTATCCCAGGAGTTTCTCTTGTGTGGGTTTTGTGTGCCCTCCTATTACACTTACCTTGACTGCTGTTGGCATGTCAGTGGGTGGTATTGACCCTCAGGCTGACTGCCTATCAGGTTTGGCCACATCCACAGCTTATGAGCTGCTGTTGTGGGAGGCTTACCCTATGGAGCCGGATTCACCCTAGTGGGCTCTGGAGCCTATTGAGACGGTCCTTTGGGTGTGTTACTTGTGGGGCTAATTGGGTGGTGCTCTGCTGTGGTCTGAAGCCAACCTCCAGGTATGTTGGCTCTGGGCCTTTTTTGGAGGGGCTCCAGTGCAGGCCCTGGTCAGCCACTGCCTGTGACCAGATGGGACTACCTGGTAGGAGCTACTAAGAGATCTGTGATTGGTTGATGACTGTGCTAGAACTGGCGGTGTGTGGGAGAGACCACACTGAAAACCCAGAAGGGCTGCCACTAGTACCTTGCCTGGGGTAGCTCTGCAAAAAGCCCAGGGTACCCAGAGGTCTGCTGCCACCTGCCCACTCCCATAAAGCTCAGCTGGTTATAGAGTCTCTTGCGGCATGTGAGTTGCTTGAGGCAGGATCTCAGGGAGTCACCAGGGTGGGATGAATGGTGTTCACCAGGTTAATGTAGATTTTGGTTTGGTGCCAGTGCTGAGCTTGGAGCTACTCAGCGAAAGTCTCAGAGCACACCGAGGCCAATGGCTGCCCACCTGGGGCCCATGGACCCCCAAGAGTTGTCCAAGAAAGAGTGCAATGTTGGTGGGGCTGGCTGCTTGCTGAGAAAGTGCCTTTGGCATTGCATGAGTTGGGTGTGGTGGGGTCCCAGGGAGTCACCAGGCCAGTGCAGATTCATATTTGGCCTGTGGGGGAGGGCTCAACACAGGAAAGATGGCGCCGGCTGCATGGGAGAAGGACTCTACACAGGGAAAATGATGACTGTCCCTCCTGTCCTCACCTTGAAGACACACAATTCAGTCTCTCCTCGTATATCTCTGACACCTCACTAGTCACTGCACCTCCACTGGAGCCCAGGGTGAGTGCCTACAAGCAAGTGAATCTGTGCATGGGCCCTTTAAAAGGACATCTGGGTTTCCTGCAGCCTTTTCATCTCACCCGGATGGTTGGAATCCCCAATGTTTTTCACAGCCAGATGTTGTGGGGGCTCCTCTTCCCAGCACCAGTACTCTGGCCTGGGGAAGCCAGTGTGGGGCTGGGTCCTTTGCTCCTCCGGTGGGGGATTTCCGCAGCTCAGATATCTCCAGATTCTTAGCTGCCACATGGAGGTGTGGGGCCAGCCCATTCCACGTCTCTGCCCCTCCTACCAGTCTCAGTGTGGCTTGTTCTTTATATCCTTAGTTATAGGGGTTCTGTTCAACTAGACTTTAGATCGTTTTCTATCATGGCTGATTTTAAATTAGTCCAGTGATCAGAGTTCACACTGTCTCTCTTGCTCAAACAACTCAAACAATGTGTCCTCTACTAGTATTTCCAGGTTTGCTTTCTGTATTCTCTTAGCTGCCTGCTCTGCATAGTGCATTTTGTACTAAGAGGCCAAATTCTCTAAGGTAGGTCAGTGGAGGGCCTGCAAGGTATCCATTAACCTCTTACCAGCCAGCCTTTTGCAGACACCTTGGTTGGTGATTGCTGTAGAAAAGCTTTTCATTTTCTTAATGGTGGAAGTGAAATGGAAGAAGTTTTAATTTTGTTGAGGTACAGTTTATCAAATTTTTTATGTTCTATAATTGTTTTATCCTACCTAAGGAATCTTTGCCTCTTCCAAGACCAGGAAGGTATTCTCCTATGTTTGTTCTAGAAGTTTCATAGTTTTAACTGTTGTAATCAGGCCTGTAAGCCACCTCAAATTAACTTTTGTGTATAGTTTGATGTAGGGGTCAAATTTTTTTTCCTGTATGCATATCTGGTTGTTCCAGCACCTTCCTTTTCACAGACATTTATCATGTGGTTATATATGTGTAGACCCATTTCTGAACTCACTGTTTTATCCCATCAAGCCATTCTTTTATCCTTATGACAGTACTAGACCCTCTTAATCACTGTAGCTTTATATTAAGTTTAATGTCTGATCATGTAAGACCTGTAGCATTGATCTTCTTCAAGAATTTTTTTCTAGGTCCTTAATATTTCCATATACATTTTAGAAGTAGCCTGTTAATTTGTACAAAATAACCTGCTGGGATTTTATTGGGTCTTTTGTTCAACTGGCTGAGATATGACATATTAACAGCATTGAGTGTTCCTATGAACCTGATGTTTCTGTTCATGTCCTTTTTATTTTATCTCAGCAAAATTTTGTAGTTTTCAGTGTAAAGGTGTTACACATATTTCATTAAATGTTTCTCTAGGTAGTGGATGTTTTTTAATACAATTGTAAATTGTATTGTTTTAAATTTTCATTCTCCAATTGTGTGTTAGCATATAGAAATATGGTTGTGTTCTTTTCCTTATATCCTGTAATCTTGCTAAATTTGCTTGTTAGTTTTAGAAATTGGTTTGTTCATTATTTTGGGTTTTCTCCATATACAACCTTGTCATCTGTAAATAAAGATGGTTTTACTTTTTTTTCCAGTCTTTGCCTCCATTCCTTTCCTTGCCTGGGCTGGGACTTCCCATGCATGGTGACTAGGAGCAGGGGGATTATGGGGAAGTGCATTTGGCATTTCTCATCTGCACAGGATTAGCTTAGGGTTCAGCAGAGCCCCTTCTAGGAGGGAGGAGGCGCCTCTGGCCTTCGGCTGCTGTGCCTTCCTTGAACTGTGGCATTCCTCAGGCGCCCTCCCTGCATCTGTGGAGAATACCATGTGGGTTTCTCCCGAGGGGTGTAGCTGGAGTGAGGTGCAGCGATTTCCACTGGGACAGCAGCATTGTACTCCTGGGCAAACCCCACTAGGTATCTGTTTTTAGTTGCTGGATTAGATATGCCAACATTTTGTCTAGGGAGTCTGAAGTTTGTTGGTCTCCTTTCTTGCAGCATTCTCCTTAGGTTTCTGTGTCACGGCCCTGCTAGCCTCACTAACTGTTATTGCTCACTGCAGCACCCAGTGCTGCTTCTCTGGGGTGTGGAAAGCAGAGGAGCTGTCCCCCCAAGCTCTGGGCACATGCCATTCACAACCCCCAGCTGCTCTGGGCCTCCCATAATGGCACTGACCAAACAGGAGGCCTTTGGGTTGGGGTATGTGGTCTTTCACTGTGCCCTCAGGGGTCAGGCCCCACAGGGCCTGCTCTGGCCTGTGGACAGCAGAGGCGTGTGACCCAGAGGTAGCCAGGCTGAAGATTTGAGGAGCACGGAAAAGTTGCCTCTGCCTCCTGGCCCCACGCGGTTACTCTGGTGTTAGCTGCTAGAAGGCACCCCATGGCAGGTCCTGTGACACTCTCTTCTGAGGATAGAGAAACTTTGGGGGCCACTGGGGGTTGCAACTGATTGCAGCTACATGTGTCCTCCTCTTCTTGTCTTGTAGATGAACGCACCTCGAGCAGCAGTGGGGACACCTTGTCTGGCCCTGGCACCTGGCCCTCTACCCACCACGGTCATTCCCGGAACTGCCCTGACCCTGCCCATGCCCATGCCAGGTACTGCCCTCTCTGGCCTCTCAGCCTCGCCCTGTGCACTGCCTCTGGGCCAGTACAGAAGCCTGCTCCCAGTTCCAGTTGTCTGGGGTCCCTGGGCAGCCCAGGCGGGCAGCCAGAGCCCTGCCTGGGGGTCAGACTTGGGTGCAGCAGGCGGTCCCATGCTCGCCATGTTCTTACCACTGCCTGCGGTTTGCATGCCTGGCCCTAGGTTGCGGATCACATAGCTCTCTAAGCACTTGCCAGATGCAATGCGCTGAATTGAACAGCCCAGAGGATCCCAGTTGTGGTTTGGCCTCTGAGTTTTGCCCTGCCTTCCTGAGGGTGGCCAGTGAAAGGGTCAGTGTGAGGACCCTTGCTCCCTTATTGCTGCAGACCCCATTTCCCCTTAGGTCTCACAGACTTGACACCCACTTCCTGTACTTGAATCTATGGTTAGAACATTGTAATCACCGTGCAGAATTACAGTGCCCTTGAATTCCAGCTTTTCCGTTCCCTGATGGAGAGATGTTTACAAAAATCATATATTTGGAAAAGGTGTATTTATTTCATTTACAATTGGATTGTGCATTGGTAACTATTTCCCGTTAAGTTGCAGAGATATAAATGGTTTACAAATCTGAAGCTAAAGTCTCATCTTTAGTTTTCTGTTGTAAGTGGCTTTTTTAAAAAACAAATTGAACTAGTGACATTGAATATTGAAGAATTGCAAATGGAGGGGAGCTCTGACTCCTGCTCAGAACAGGAGGTCTCTCTGGGCTCTGTGTCACTGGTAGCAGACAGATGGACACACACCCTCAACTGCAGCTCTGAGGGCACTGCCAGCAAGCCACCCATAATGTATCGTTCCTGGGTCATGCATTGCTAGTAATGAACTAGCAGCTATGTTGGGCTGTGTGGAACCACTAGGTGAGCAGACACACCCTCAGGACCAAAAGCCAGGCAGGGCTGCTATGAGGTGGGGAAGGTGAGTGTATGTGTCATAGCAGGCCTCCACCCTGCAGTGACAGCATGGCCCCTTTGTCTCCGGGATCCAGCCCACCCTCTTGCTGGCCCTCCTTCCTTTTCCATCATCTTCACTGAGGCCTGTGGCCTCCTGTGTCTTGATCTACCACACGTTCACAGGCTAGCCCGCCTACCCCTGGGCCCCAGACTGCTCACCAAACACCAAGGCTGCCCTGCCAGGGGCGGGGTATTCCTCCCCTGGAGACATCAGTGGGACTCATCCTAGACAGGCACCAGACAGCCCCCAGTGGGAGCTGCAGGCCCTGCTCGTCACTGGCCAGGATGTGTCCCACTCCCTGAGGGGAAGCAGCTGGCCAGGCTGCCTGGCTGTGAATTGTAGCATTTTGCTGTGCTTTGGGACCTCAGTAGAACTGGCTAACTTATTTTGGTTTAAATTGATTATTCCATCAATTCAGTTAGAATTGAATTTTCTAGGCAATTACACAGAATCTTCTGCCAGGGCGCGATGCTGTAGTAAGAGATTCTGTCCTGTGAGGTGCCCCATGGTCCCTTGTCGTGTCTGGTGTCTGAGGGCGGTGGAAGCCACCCTCTCCTACTCCCCACCCCGCACCAAGTTGAGGTGTGGAGTTTTGGCCTCGTACACGAAAGGTCAGTGGCATGGAATCCCCAAGAGATTGTATATATGAAGGAGAAAAATAAACATTTTTGCTTGAAAACAGTGTGAAACAACATATTTTTCTTATTCTCTGTCCATGTAAAAGCTGAACCAGCCAGCCTCAGCCCCCTGATAGGAGAGGGTAGCTGGGTGGGAGGGCCGGCAGTGGGTGCCATCTTGCCGGTGGGAGCCGGGTGTGGTGGACGCTGCGCCACTGGGCTCGGGCTGAAAGTGAGGTGTCAGGAGGGACCCCGTCTTGTGCACACAGTGCCTGCTGGGTGTGACCTGGGCCCAGAGGTCAGCCGGCCTCTGCCAGCTTCGGGCCTGGCTTGGCCTGTTCACTCTGCTTTCAGCCACTCACCCTGAACTGCATTTAGACGTGGGGTAGACTCTGCCCCACAGATAGTGAGTCTCATGGTCAACTAAACAGTGTCCCCAACCCCTGTCTTCGTTGGCTGTCTTCCAGAAAGCTGAGTTTCGTGACTCTGTGGATGAAGTGTCAGGAGGCGTCAGGTTCTAGGTCTTGTGAGAGGATGTGGAGTTGTGGCCACCTGAGGGTCATGCAAGGGACTCTGCTGTCCTGCAGGCACAGGGTCATGGCGCAGGTGTGGGTTTGGGGAGTGTCCTTGCCACCCCTCCTGGGGTTCAGCATGTGTTCCTGACAGGCCGCCCTTGATGGCCTCATGCTCAGTGGCTTGTGCTCCTGCACGTACTCAAGCTGGGGGGCACAGCACCTCCTGCTCTGCTCAGTTGGGGTGGTTGCCCCAGTCTGCTGGTCCTACACGCCCACCAAGATGCAGTCAGGTTTTGTGCCTCTGCTTGTGGAAGGATGGGGACCCCCCAGCTGCATTTGGTGCCTCATCTCAGTGCTGACATTGGGTAGAGGCTGGGACATCTTGGGGTTGCTGTGCTCATGAGCCAGAGGCAACTTGCCCCTGTTGCCTCCCAGGAGGCCCTGTCTGATTTGGGCAGGTGGTCAGTGTGGAAGGGAGCCAGAGGGTGGAGGCGGCCTGGGTCCCTCTGCACAGTGTGCAGGTTGTGGTCAGGCTCCCCGACCCCCTGAAGAATGTGACTGCTTTGGTGTCACTTCTCCACCTTCCAGGGCCTAGTGCAACTGTGTAGGGCCTGTAATGAGCTGTGGCGGTTTTGTCTTCTAGATTCTGAGAGTGAGAAGCCCGACTGAGCCCAGGCAGGCTGACCTGACCCAGACGCCAGGCCTTGTGTCGTCACGCAGAGAAGCGAGTCCACGCCTCGTGTCAGTTCACTGTTTTGTAAACACTTTCTAAGCATTTTTTATTCACAATTGGAAACACAAATGTAATGCAAGAATAAAAAATATTTTGGGGGAAAAAGGACTTTGGTTTTTCAAACTCTTTTCCAGTGGCCCCCAAATAGGCAGGTGGCCTGATAACAGCAGTGATCAGGTGAGGGGTGCTGGAAAAACTCTGGGGACCATGCAGCGGGCCCTCTGGAGTGCCAACAGCCAAGGGGCTCCTGGGAGTGGTGATCAACATTTGCAGTTTACAGGGCACCTTACAGTGCACCTGTTAGCTTGGGGTCCTCGAATCAGATGGCAGCGGGATAGATCAGACAGGTGACTCATGGTCCCACCTCGGACAAGTAGCCGAGTCCACGATGGCAGGTGGCCTGGCCCTGCAGGCCCAGGGCAGTGCCCGTTTTCTGCAGTGCCCATCTCTGGTGATGGCTTCCTGGCCTGCACAGACATGGACATTTGCACACAGCTCCATTTTGCCGACCCTCTGGCTCCCCTGTTCCGTGTCACTTGGAGGCACATCACCACCCCCGGGTACACGGAGGCATTCACAGTGGCCTGAAATGTCCCTTTCTCCAGAAATGTGGGTGGTGGCCTCACAGCCTGGCCCACAGAGACGGGCTCACACTGGGACCTGGGGACAGGGCTATAACTCGGGGCTCACCTGCATGGGGTGGGGAAGTGCATCTTTGTTTTTATTGGTTTCCCATGGCAACTGAGTGCTTCCGTGGTGACGCATATGGGATGGGGATAGCACTTGGGGCGTATCACCGTCGGAGCCCACAGATGCTGCATATGATACTACAGCTGTCACGAGTGTCCCCAGACATTTATGTTCATCACAACAAAATGTCAGTTCCTGAAACTCAACTCCTGTCCACCTGGCTGATGAAAGCAGAGCAGCACGGGTTTCCTGCCTCCCAAGGCTTCTCTGGGGACTTACGGGTGCAGTGGGAGGGCTTGCAGACATGGCATCCACCTGAGGGCGGGTGTGTGTGGTGTCAGTGTGGGGGTGGGCAGGTGCGGCATGGTGACAGTGCACAGGGCTGCCCATCTCATTTCTCTCCAGCAGACACACTTCGCGAGCTTCCCACCCCTTCTCTGCTCCGATAAAGCAGAGGAGCAAGTGTGCCGCCAGACTTGACGCTGTCCTGTGTTTTCATTCTGTTTGGTTTGTCACGGTGGCTCCTGTTCCTGCATTTTTACTAACGGTAGTGATGCAGCTTACCTTTTCGGACAGCAAATTTATTTAAATCATTCCTTTTAAGCAAGTAATAGTACAGGTGCTAATGGTAAAAATGGATCTTAAGATAGTAATTAGTGGGGCTGGCCGAGTGGCTCATTGGTTAAGAGTTGGTTTGGAGTGCGAGCTCTGAGCAGCAGGGCCGCCGGTTTGGATCCTACATGGGCCAGTGACGCTGTGTCCTCTACAGCTAAGATAGTGAGCAACAGCTCGACCTGGAGCTGGGCTGCCGTGAGTCGCTGGCGATGGCGTAGACTGCAGCCTCCGCTGCAATGGGCTGCCGTAAGCTACCGTGAGTGGCTGGCAGCCGGCGTGAGCTGCCATGAGCCGCCATGAGCAGCCATCCAATGGCCGGCGACCAATATGCCTAAGCCAGGAAGAGCGCAAAGATCACAATACCAACATGGACCAGTGAAGCAACGTCCTCCACAACTAGACTGAAGAACAAAAGGACAGCAACTTGTCTGTTCCCCTTCCCCGATTCCTCAACGCTGTGACTTCCCCCAATTCCCCAATAAAATCTTAAAAAAAAAAATAGTAGTGGCAAAATGGTAAGAATAGTACATGAACTAATGGTAAAAATTGCAAGGGCAGAGATACCTGTTTACACCATAGCACGGCTGAGAGCTTACTCGCTCCCCCAGCACCAATTGCCTTCGGAGCAGGAGCCAGTCTGCACTTCTTAGCTCCTGGGATCCCCAGTAGCAAAGCCTTCCCCACCCCCACTTGGAGCCGTGGGTTGTGTTCTCTTTGCAAAGGGGCATGGCCCTCTAGAAGTTCTGCATGTCAGGGCTGATCAGCACAGGTGGAGGGACAGGCCAGTGCTGGTGATGAGCATGCCTGTCACCCTGGGGGACGGGGGTGAGTGGTGGGGGGTTCCTGCACACCCAGCCTCCAGAGCCCCTAGCATAAGTCCCAATCCCTGTCTCAGAATCCAAGGCTCTCTGCTGTTTACCTCACCCACCAGATGTGTCCCCCTGCTTGAGACTTGGCTACAGGGACATGGCTCACTAGCCCCACCTCTGCCCCTTGCTGCTGCTGCTCACCTACCTGCAGCTCTCTGCTGCAAAAATTCCAGCAGGACCCTCTGACCAGATCCCCAGAGGGGTCTCGTGAGTACATCTCCTTTGTCGCGTTGTCACGCTTGGCTTTAAGCCTCCCAGGGGCAAAACTTGAGGGCATCTTTCCTATCCTGCACCTCCCGGAACAGTCATCAATGACCACAACTGCTGCACAATAAATTGTGGCCAAAGGTCAAGCTCTGCCTGTGGGTAGAAGACAGCAGTGGGTATTCATTGCTACTTATTGGATTTCGAGAATGCAAAGGACCCACCGGGACAGGGATCATCCAGGTTTGTCCAGGGCTCTGCCTGCTGCAGCTGTAGTCTCCATTCATTTTGTCCTGGAGGGCTCCCCACAGCCCATTCTCCTCCCGTTTCTGCTATGATATGTTGTTTGAACAGCTTTAACTCTGAAATGCTCATCTTATTAGAGGGCTGGTTGGTTTTCTATGACCTAGGAAAACCCGGCAAAAAAAAGTAAGCATCCCCAAGGGTTCCGAGTAAGTGAGGTTATGCTATTCTAGCACTACATTTCCAGGTCATAAGTAACTTCACACTGGTACAGAACAGAACGAAGTCCACCCACTCCACGCGCAACAGAGCAAACACTGAATGCCAAATTTTGCAGTGAAGAAATGAAAGTGGTTTATTGGCAGGGTGCCAGGAAAGCAGGAGCTAATGCTCAAAAATCTCAGTTCCCCGATGGTTTTTAATCAAGGGTTTTTAAAGGCAGAGACTGAGGGTTAGGGGTTAGGATGGGCGAAGCTGATTGTTTAGTTCTTGTGCCAGCCTAAGCAGTTTTCTTAGTGTGATTAGTTCAGTTCCTGACGTCATCTTGTCTGGTGCCTTCATCACATAGTTGGGTGAGCTATCCAGGTTGAGGAACCAATTCTGCAAAAATATCTCATCATTGCGATTCAGTGATGTTATGTTTAAAGCAAAAGGCAGAAACTAAATGTCTTGTTACCATTGTTACTGTTTAAGTTACTGTTTTGTGCTTAACTAGCTACATTTTTCTATTATCCCAAGCCAAGTGTACTTTTATTTATTTTTATGATGCAGAATTAATTTTTTTGAGTTTTTATGTATTTATTTTTATTAAGCAAAGTGTACTTTAAACCATTTTTCTTGGAACTTACCATACAGGCAGGCCTTCAGAACATGACTAACATACTTTATAATCTTTGACTATAAGTGACTAACATATTTTCTTAATCTTTGACTGTAAACTACGTGACAACCAAAGCACTTAAAACATTTAGTTAAAGCCTAAATCTATATTTCTAAATCCTATGATCTAATCCCTAAACATGTTTACTGTTAACTGCCAGTTTCAGTACTCTAGCCTGGGATTCCTGCCTTGACTTATGTTGTCTCTTTGGGAAACAAAAACATATGGTGTCTCGGGCCACCATAATAATACCTCATACTGGATGGCTTACACATTTATTTCTCACAATTCTGGAGGCTGAAAGTCCAGGATCAAGGTGCTGGCAGATAGGTTTCATTGTGAGGCCTCTTCTCTTGGTTTATAGGTGACTGTCATCTCTTTGGTTCTCACACGGCCTTTGCGTGCACACATGGAGAGCTCTGTTCTCCCTTCTTTTCCTCCTCCTCCTCCTCCTCCTCCTCCTGCTCCTCCTTATAAGGACACTAATCCTATCATATTAGGCCCCACCCTTGTGATCTCATTTAATCGTGATTATTTCCATAAAAGTCCTATCTCCAGATAGTCAGATTGGGGATAAGGGCCTCAACATATGAGTTTGGGGGAACATACTCAGTCCATCTCACATGGTTTATTAAATAATTTTGGTACACAGTCTATTTTTAATATGGAAACTATACTTATCTCTACTTGCACACACACATTTTAAAACTAAAATTAAGTGAATACTAGAGAGAGAGAAAGAGAAAAAAACAGAGAGAAAGGGGTGGTGGTCAAGACATATTTGTGGCAGAAAACTGAAAGGAATCACCCACTGCTCTTTACTGGGCCCCACATGAGCTCACCCTCTCCAGCCTTAAAGCATCAGAACCGTGAACTGGAGGTCAGTGACCAGTGGTGAGCACACTAGGCCAGGTGCACAGGGTTGGTCAGTGCACAGAGCTCTTGGTTTAGAGCTCGCTCAGGCACACAGCCACAGAAAAGAGAAAAAGGGGAACAAAGAAGAGATGAGATAAAAGTCATATTGCAAGATGATAGAGTGAACCCTAGCTATATCAATAACCACATTTGTCAGGTATGTGAATGGTTTGATCACTTTGATTAAAAGAAATTATCAGATTGGATTTTTTAAAAAACCCAATTATCTGTTGCATACAATAAACATACTTAAAATATAAAGACCAGTAGGTGAGGTAAAGGGTGGACCAAGTTAATCCTAATAGTAATCAAAAGGAAGCCAAAGTGACTCTATTAATATCAAGCAATGTACATTTCAGAGCAAAGTTTATGAGGGCAAAGATATTTCATAATGAAAAAGTCAACTCATCAAGAAAACATACAATTCTAAACACTTATGCCCCAACAACAGCTTCAAAAATACATGAGGAAAACAGAACTGCAAAGAGAAACAGACAAATCCACAATTATAGTCATATATTTCAATATCTCTCAATAATTGATACAAGGAGACAAAAAATTCATCATAGAGTCTGACTCCAATTTTTGGTGTCTGTTGACAGCATTTATGTCTCCTCCTCCCTCTTCCCTTCTGTCCCACATCTGGGAAAGCTGATAAGAAACCCTGGTGCTCCTTCCCTGAG